GATCCCTCAGTCCAGCTGTGAGAATCCCACTCCATGGCAGGAAAGCAGGAGGGGGTGCGGGGTTAGAGACAAAGTGTCAGATCAGCTAAGGGGAGAGTAACCAAAAATGGTAATAACACTTCTCCAGAATGATCCCGAGGGGTCCGCAGACTTACTAAATCGCAGCCACAGCCATACATCCATCTGAACTGGTTTGGGCATTGCTGTGGCTGCTTCCTCACTACAACACATGGCGTGAGTAGTTGTCACAGAGAGTGTACAGCCTGCAAGAGATGAAATGTTTTCTCTCTGGCCCTTTACAGAAAAAAGTTTGCCACCCCCTTCCGCACAATGGAAAATCAGATTCCACGTATTAAAATAAATTGGGATCCTCCTGGAGAAAAAGATTAGCCTTTGTTTAAGCCCCCAATCATTTTATTACTTCAATGCAATTATGTATGTTCAAAAGGAAAAAAAATGTACCACAGCCCATAAATAAAGAAGAACATGAATACTTAGCTGCTCTTATACATATTCCACCCATTTGAGTCCGGACCTGGGACTCTATCCACCCACCCACCTCCCTCCACCCCTGGGAGTGGCCAGCATAGGACAGGGTTGAGGTAGCAGCCCTGGCAGAAGACAGCCTGGCTTTGGAGGATTTGGATCCCTGGCTCTGCCAGGTGATCTTGGGCAGTTTGCTCAACCTTCCCACGGCTCACCTTTCCTGCCAGTAAAAGGGGATGATGGTAATAATAGTAATCTCACCTCCAAGGGTCCTTGAGAATAGTAAGTGAGTTGATGCATGCAATGCCTTGGAAGAATGTTCAGCACACAGTAGGTGCCTAATAAATGTTAACTGCTCTTTCACTCTTGTGAGCAGGACTGAGCTATGACTGAGTCAATCTCACAAGAACCTTTCAAGCCCAGGCATTCTAGAAAACAAACTTCTTCCATGCCCGGGACCTCTGTGTCCTCTACTTTCGTAGCAGAAGAGAAAGCACCACTTCCTTTCATCTTAAAAACACCGGACATGCAAGGCTGGTGCTAAGCTCCCTGCAGACCCAGAAGCTACATAATAAGAGGGAGGAAAAGGTGGAGCATTTACATTACTCTTTGCACGGTTTCTTCTTTCAGTTGTTATTCAGCTCTATCTCTTGGGAAGATTGTAAATGTTTCAGAAAATAGTTTATACTAAATATGTTCCTTCCTAAGTCGAATAAACAGTCATTCTTTCCTACATAAACCTAACCACTTACGCCCATGGTAGGTTCCAATTAGTCACCCACACATCTGTGGAGGGGAGAATTATGTTCAGTCATATACACACACTCGTACACAGGCACTGCCAACTCAAGCCCTCTGCTGTGTCTATGTCAGGTGAAAAGGAGCATATCCTACACAATGGTCAAGTCAGTTGGGAAGGACTCTTGCAAATCACTGGGTCGCCAAGAAGCTACCAATTAATTCTCCAAGGGCCTCTGCTGCTCTCAGAAGCCCCTAAACCATCCTGAATTTATTCCTCAATGGCCAAGCCACTGTGTCTAAACCACCAATCAGTGCTGCGACCTGACCGTCAAGGATGGGATAGGGCTCCCTATACCCCACCCCCAGGATGTTGCTGACCCTAGCCTTGCAGAGAACATGTGTCCCCCTCAGGAGCCATGACAGGTAGCTCAGCAGAGCACGAATGCTGGAGCCAGGCTGCCTAGGTTCAAGTCCTTGGCTGTGCATTTTCTAGCTGTGGGGACTTAAGGTCCTTTACTCCCCAATGACTTCATCTCCTCCTCCAGAAGAGGAGCATGATAGCAAAAGAGCATGTACCTGCTCCTGGGTTGTCCTGAGGATTAACTGAGTTGACCCAGGTACTGTGCTGTGGGTGAGGTGAGAGCAGTCCCCTCTCCCCATTTCTCTGGTTCCTAGAGTTTAATCAGATTAAAGCACAATTGGGGATTATGGGCTTTGTCTTGCATCTTCTAAGAGGCATCAAGGATCTCACCCCAGAAAACAAATTTCCCCTGGCAGCTGGCAACTTCAGGACTTGGCCAATAAGAAAAGAATGATTCCCTTGCCATCACAGGGCAGAGCCCCAAGCTGAAAGAGTGGACACCTTTGCAGGGCCACTGCAGCCCCATAGCCTCAATTTGACCAGTCTCTTGTTCACTGACCAGTGACACCTGTGAGCATGGCCCAGACACAATCCCAGGTGTTACTACCTAAGGGTGACACTACTTCCCTAGCAATTCTCACACAAAGCATGGGAGCTGCTTCCTCCAAGTTTCCATTTGCTAATATGTGAAGAGCAGAGATTACCCACCAAGTCATTTCAGAAGTGCACCAACTTGTTCTGCAGCAGAAGCATTGAAGGCTGCAGGTGATACCCACTGTAATCCTCAGGTTCCTGTGCCTGCCATGTGTCTCCCTCTCCCCCCGCCCCAAGCAGTGCAAGTTCTTAGACCTCCCTGCAAATGGGGCAGAGTTCTTTGGCTCTGTGTTTAGGCCTCCTTGTAACTGGCGAGTGCAAACAAAATGGAAAACATCAACAGAACCAAACAAAATAATTGGCCTCCCTCAGGAATGACAAGGAAAAGTAGCATTAGAAGAAGGCATTTAAACAACCTACGTGAACTCTCCTCTCTCTTCCCCCCATTATGACTATTTTCTTCTATCTGAAACCTAACTGTGTTTTCTTCTACTTGAAACCCAATTACGCAAACTACTAGAGCCCTGCAATTATGAAATTCTAAGCCAACAAAATATGTGGATCTTTGTGGATTTAATTGTATCTTTTCCCAGATTCCTATTTTCTTATTCTACAATTGTGCCTGTTTTTTAAAAAATTAATTTGCATGTTAGTATCTCAGCAAAATAGGGTGTGTGTGTGTGAAAATATTAATTTGCATTAGGTACCAAATGTATGAATAACAGTATAGCAGCTGCCTCTTCATGTCCTGGCTCATTTAATTCTCACAACAAACCTCTAAGGATGAGATTGTCAATCCTATTTTGAGATGAAAATGTAAGGCCTCCCCCTCTCCCTCCTTTGTGCATGCTTTCTCTCTCTCTTTCTCTCTCTCTCTCTCTGTCTCCCTCCCTCTCTCTCTCTCTCTCTCCCTCTTTCTCTATCTACCTCTCTCTCTCCTTTTTACTACATTAGATTAAAGCAATACTATTAGAAGTTTGAGTAAGGGACTTTTCTGGAAGCATTCCTCATTTGCACCATTCTTTACCTTGGACAAGTCCCCATCTTCCTTCAGCTCTAAGATGCTCTTTTGAGTCCTTCAGATGCTAACATATCAAGAGTCCAGCAAACAGCCCCATGGAACTTTAGACTGTCTTTTCTTTCTCTAACCTTTGCTTCAGCTCTTTCCCTATATCTTCTAGTTGAACACTTTTATTCACCTCCACTGTTTCACAGAGTTTCTTTAGCATGAGTGAAGCTATAATCTCACAGAGTTTAGGGGTCCCAAGAATCTGGCTTGATAGAAATATCCTAAAACAACTCAGGTGCAAAGGAAAAGCAATTCTCAGCTTTGAATGGGACTGAGATAGGAGTTAAGAAGGGGCCAACTAAAAACTAAAGCTGCAAGTCCAGGTCATGGCATTGGCCATCACTCTTACTTGGTCATCAGACTGGCCCAAATAACTTGAGCATTACCTGGGGAACATTCTCAGATCTCCTTACCCCTTGGTCCAAGCAGCAGCCTCCTCACACCTCAGATACCATACAAATGGCACAGCTCTATGTGAGTCCATTTGCCATGCTGCCCTCAGTCCAAGAGGCAGAGACTATGCCTCATTCACATGTGTACTTCCAGTGCCTAGCACCAGCTCTGGTCCACGAAGCTATCCAATGCATCCGAGTGAATGAGCAGCTCCTCTGGACTAAGGCTTCCAGGGCAAGGACCACGGCCACCATGCAGTTCTCCACCAGGCTTCACAGAGGGTTCCATCCAGCAAAGCAGGAAAACTATCCCCTAGCCTTCTGAAGGATTGGTTATCTATCTACAGAGTGGGTCAGGAGAGCAAGGACTTTGCAGTTCTCAAGATCTTACAAAAATATCTGCATTATCCTGCCTGGCAGACTCCATAGGGCAGAAGCTCCCCCTTTGACTCCCAAGGCTTGAGCTAGAAGCTTGCCATCTGACACAAAAGGGGCCAGTTGATCAACTGTCAGTTGAGCTGGGAACTCAGAGCTGGGCAGTCCTGTGGCTGGATGGAGGGATCCCTGGGATGGATGAGCCAAGACATCCCATGGACCCAGCCTCTGGAAGCTTCTGTGAAGGGTGCCCAGGCTGCCCTGCCTGGCTTGAAGACTTGGCTCTTCAATTTCCCAGTTCCTCTCCTAAGAGTACAGGCTCCCAAGCCCCAGATGGTGACCCCCAGAGTGGAAATGATGGTTGCCCCCCCAGCAGTGGATTTGGGTAAGGCAGCAGGGGAGGGGAGAAGAGGCTATTAGCAAATGAAAAGGGAAGAAAACAGGAAGGAAAACAGGCTGGCAAATTAAAGGGCTATGTTTTCTTTTTGAAAACCCAATTGCAGAGAAATCTGCTTTTAAGTGAAAACAATCCTGCCCTTGTTACAAAGTATTTCAGGGACCCTTAATACATGCAAAACCTTTTTAATCACAATTTTTTTCTCATTACAAATTAGATAATAGATACATCTTAGTAATTTCCCTTTCACTCTTCCACTTTTCCCACCCACGCAAACATGTGGGGTCTGACAATGCTCTTATGTTTGCCTCAGACACGTTCCCAAGCATGTGTTTAGAGTCTCTGAATATCCCCAGCCCCTCATCTGATATGCAAGCATATCCTCACCTACCGACCCTTTGCTCCTCTCTCTCTCTCTTCTGCACGCACACACGCGCACTCAGAAACACGCTGTGCACACACACGGCACATGCATAAGAACATATTTGCTCTCTCTCCAATTCAACACTAATGCACTTCTGTTCCCCTGTTCCTCTCTGCCTCTCAAGACAGGTCCACACAGCAAAGCCCCAGTAAGCTCCTTACCGCCAAAGCCTGTGGGAAACTTCATGAAGTGGGAATAATTTCCATACATGTTGGCTCTTCAGTTCATAGTCCTCTCCCGTGCGTCTTCGGAATTGTACGGCCTCTCTGGCTCCCAGGCACAGCCCGGCTTTCTTCAACTTGGGCTAACAAAAGTGGTCATCGCTTGCTAGCAGCCCGGGGAGCACAGGCTGGGCCAGCCCTCTGGGATTAGTCAGGAATCTGCCTCTAGATCCGAGAGTCCACATAGTGCGTTGAGAGGCTGTGGCGGCGGCAGCTGGTGCCTGTCAGTAATCACGCATACTGCTGCTGCTGCCGCCGCCGCCGCCACCACTCTTGCCACCACTGTCGCTCCTGCTGCTGCTGCTGCTGCTGCCTGAGATCCTGTTGCTAGTTTGATTAACTCCGGGCTGGGCTGCTGCGTGCGACTCTTCCAGCTCCCTGCTTGTCCCCAGAGGTTCTCACCGGGTGGCACGATCTATTATCTAGGAACCAATCGATGTGTGACTGCCCTAGTAGGTCAGGAGAGAGGGGGAAGGTGGCGGGTGAGGGAAGACTCTTTAGGCGCCTTTTCTTTGACTTGCACCCACAAAAATCAATGGGGTTTTATTAAAATGCATTTTCTCACTCTGGCTCCTCTCTGTCCAATGCACTTGGTATTTGATCTGTGAAAGCGGGTGGGGGTAGGGGCCAAGAAAGAACAGAGTCTTTTCATAAGTACGAAATTAGAAAAACATGAGACTTGGTGCCCAGCTATGGAAAACTAAAATAGAGCAGCCCTTAAACTTGGGGTGGGCTCCTCCTGCTTGGGTGGCCAGGCACATTTGTCTGTGCTCTATCAAATGCAAGCTTGACAAGAGCAGTCAGGAGGCAGAGGTGGCTCCTATGGGCACCTACAGGTAAGGAGAAGGTGTATCAATGATGGTAGTCACTTTTGGCTGGTTCTCTGAAGGGATGTCTTTGCTTTAGAGACCATTGCTCAAAGAACACCCCTGGGTCCTCACTGTCATAGAGACAGCTTCTAGTGGAGCCAACCCACAGATGAAAGAGTCTAAGCCCTTTTGATATCTGGGTCTGTAGTACAGCTTAAACATCTCCAGTGATGGGGAACTCACTACTGTCCACTCCATATCGAGAGGACTCTCACACGGAAAAGACTTTTTTTTAACTGAAACTTGTCTCTTCTCCCTATAGCTTCTGTCCACAGGACCTAGGCTACTCCCTAGAGTGACACAAGAGAAGCCTATGGGGGTCTGTCATGGTGGGATTTGCAAATTCTGAGATGGATCTGCCATGTTTATAGCGGCACTTTCTCTAGGCACTCCTGGCTCTCCCTTTCAGTGCATGTATCACCAGTGTTCAAGCCTATACATAGATACCTTCATGGTGGAAAAAAGGACCAGCATATGATGCTCTAGTATGGTCTCAACTCTTCCTCCAGGTGTGAGTATGAGTTGGGTGATGGGCATCAGCACAGTCCCCAAGGGCAGTGTCATGGGATGAGCCCTGAGAGGCTGCAGCAAGAATGATAAGTTTTCTTCTGATATGACAAGACATAGATGAGCATCAAGGTAAGCCAAATTATGTCCTATACAATAAAGCCAATATTAAAATGCTAGGAGAGCCCAGAACAAAAAACTAAGAGTAAGAAGTCAGAGGCTGACAAAGGAGGAAACTGAAATGAGGACCAGAGCAAGAGGAGGTCAGAAAGGAGGAAGAGAGGTGCAGTCCATCGCTGTGAGGAGCCTTGAAGAACTGGGAGCTCCCTTGCTGTTTGCCAGGTCTCAGAGCATTAGTGCAGTATCAGGTGGATTCAAGCAGTGCAGAATATGCGGCAACAACTTGCTCTCTTGCATTAGCATCTGGACACCTCTGCATGTTAATTCTTGTAGAATTAACTTGATAAATCTTTTGTATACATTCTTCACCCCATTCTTGGGCAACTGAGGGACTACATGCATGTATGCCATATTCTTCTAAAATGAAAATTTGGGAGATTTGTTCATCTTCCCAGATCTTTTAGGAACATGTTTCTATTGTCCAATGTATTTCTTATACCTACCTCCATGTCATAACTTCTGAAAATATGACTTTTCCATATCTTGTCCAACTCACAGATAAAAATGTTAGACAGGATATAGCAAAGACAGCATCTTATAACTTTCACCATGAAGTCCATTCATAGTGCCTTTGACACTTTGCTCTTGAATCTGGATAAATAGAGAAAGGACAGAGAAGCCAACCCTCCTGGGTGCAAATGCTGGGTTCATGGCTTACAGTTCAGTGATACTTCAAGCTACTGAATCTTCCTGGGCTGCATCTATCTTGTAGAGTACCTGCGAGCATTAAATGAGTCAACACATGTTCATCACTTAGAATACTCAAAATGAATAGAAAATGCTCAACACATCCAAACTAATTTGATTACGATGATGGTGATGATAATGGTAGTAAGGACAATGGTGGTGGTGATGGTAATGATGGTGGTGGTGGTGGCTATGGTGATGGTGGTGATTATGGTAGTGGCAGTGGTGGTGATGATGATGGTAATGATGGTGATGGTGATAGTGATGATGGCAGTGGTGGCTGTGATGATGGAGGTGATGGTAATGATGGCAGTGGTGGTGTTAGTAATGATGGTGGTGGTGGTGATGGTGGTAGTGACAGTGGTGGTGGTGGTGGTGATGTTAATGATGGTGGTGGAGATGAGACCTTGAGCAATTTACTTTATTTCCTTTTTCTCATTTGTAAAATGATGGGGCAGGGCTAGATTAGTTTCAATATCCTCAACTTTAAAAGTGAATGTAACCTAATCCACCACCTATTCCTTCTTTGTGCATTTTTCTCCAAGAGGTACCTTAGCAAGTGTCTCACTGAAGTACAACTATAGATTTCTTTTGTATGCCTGTCAGAGAAGGAAATGAGTTATTCCAACTAGCTTTTTGATGAACCATGCCTACAAGGGTTCTAAGTACTCAAAGAACTCAAAAACCATCCTTTAAAATGCCCACTCCAGTCCCTTGTACAAGGTCAATGTCAAGATGATCTGTTGGCAATTTGTGTAATACTCTACTTTCTTCCCCTTTCACTAAGTTAGGTACATTGTCTACTTCTTTTCCCTACAGAATAAAAACCAAACTTCTTAGCCAAGTATGGAAAGGCCTCACCATTGTGTCTCAGTCTACCTTTTGAGCTCTATGTAAAGGGAAGTGCTCTGAGACAGCAGTTACAAGGTACAGGGTCTGTACAACTCTACCACTCTGCAGATGTCTGAACTTGGGCAAGCTCATTGGCTCACTGGAAAAAATATCCATGCTGCCTATCTCACTGAGGTTTTTGTGAGGTTTATTATGTTTTGGACAAGGTCTCACTATTTAGCTTAGGCTGGCCTGGAACTCCCAATGCTCCTACCTCAGCCTCCCAAGTGCTGAGTTTATAGTGGGTGCCACCACAACTGGCTTGTTTCTATTTTATGGATATGTGTGATAAGAATTGGGCCTGTGTTCATTTTTATACTGCAAAGTTCTATGCAATTTTTTTGTAAAGTAAATGCAAAAAATTAATACTTTATTATTTTTCTTCCCTCCATTTTTCTGATGGTTCCTTCTTGTCTGGCTACTTTGCCTACGGTGGAAGCACTGAATGTTCAATCTAAACTCTAGTTTACTATTCATACTCATTTACCTTTCCCTATCTGTCAAATTTTTATTTATCATTCAAGTTCCAGCTCAGTTCCTGCCACAACTACAGTTATCTACAAAGATCTTCTCCCAGGATAAGTATGACAAAACACATTTGCAGTGTTCAGGTGACAACATGTGTGGCCTTGTGGCATTCCCAGTGCTGTGAAGCTGAATAGTCGCGGTCTTTCCTTTGAATATGTCTTGCAATCATAACATGCTTGCTAATTCTTCAAAGACGATGATAATGCATTTTGTGTGTTTTCCCCAGATACATGCTAGTAGGTGTTCAATGAATATTTTTGAGACAAAAATGCTTGATCTGCTTATAACATATCAAAAATAACATACAAAAGGATACCCAGCATACTTTCCTTGTGGATTCTTCCATATGGTTTAACATCCCAGAATAAACCAAAAGTTTGCTCAAAGTTAAGACAAATATAAATGTGGCTTTTCTCTTTAATCCACATTTTTTTTACTAAGCACCACTGTGTCTTGTCTGATATAATAACAACATTATCCCAGCTGGCTAGTATTTCTAACTTTAGCCCTTTCCAGACAACTCCACCACCTTCAGTCAGTCCAGTGTCTCCAGTTCTCACTGAATTCTCATCAGGATATCAAATGAAAGACCAAATGCTCAGTGTTTGTAGTAGAAATTAGCTAATTCATCCATAAGAATTCTGGGCTTTCTTCTGGTCAGGGTTAATTGTCTAGTCCTCTTCAATGATATAGTCAGCTTTTATTAAAGAACTTTGAGTAGTGCCTTGGAGTGAATGAAAAGTGCATGCCTTTCCACTAGTATGTTTGACATGAACTTAGCCCTTGATACCTTCTTTTCACCCTGATAGTCAAAGATTATAGTTTTGCTTTTGGCTTTGCTTTGCTTTTGAGCAATGATGATATAAAATAATATTTTACAGCAAATACAAATGAAAAACCAAAATCATTACTTGAAATTTGCCAATAAACATTAGATATAGAATTTAGGTGAAAATACCTCCGCACTGATGCTATGGGTTAATATTTTTATATTTTATACTTTTACCCAAATATAACAGTATAGTAAGTTTCAATGTGTTTTCCTGAATATTAAAGAAAGGTGGATTTTATTATCTCAATTTTCTAAATAAGGAATTTAACTGTGAATTTGCTATGAAGTCAAAGAAGAATCACTCCAACAAATTAGATTTTGGATGTGATCTCATAACTAAGTAGTATCAGAAATGGATATAAAAACCAGGCCCTCAAGTGGAAGGGGAAGGGGTAACGAGGAGGCTGAATATGATAAAAGTACATTATATACATGTATGTCATAATGAAACCCATTAAAATGTATCCAAAAAAGGCCAGATATGGTGGTTCACACCAGTAATCCCAACTACTCAGGAGGCAGAGATCAAGAGGATTGAGGTTTGAGGCCAGAATGGGCAAAAAGGTAGCAAGACCCCATCAGAACAAAAAAAGCTAGAACTAGTAGTACATATCTGTAATCCCAGCTATACATTAGGCATAGGTAGGAGGATCTTGGTCTGAGGCCAGCCCTGGGTAAAAAACATGAGACTCTCTGAAAAATAACTAAAGCAAAAAGGGTTAGAAGTGAAGTTCAGACAGTAGAGCACCTGCCTAGCAAGCAGAACGCCCTGAGTTCAAACCCCAGCACCATTGAAGAAGCAGGCCCCCACTCTGACTCCTAACCAGTTTGTTTTCACCAGACATGGTGATATTTCTCTCACTAATGTTGTTTCCATTATATGTGTGCATGTGCAAAGGGTTATTCATTAATTGCTGTTATTCATTAATTCATTCACTTTTGTGCAGCTAGCACTTAC